TAAACCCCTAAACCCGAAACCCCAAGGGATTTTTCGCTCCCCAAAGGTCAAGATTTCTCCGGAGCCGCCGACGTGCTCCCCGATGCCACGAGATCCGTCTGACTCCGTACTGTAGGGCCCTAAACAATTACCTATACTATGTTGGGGGTTCCTTATAATTGTAGTATAATATATAATATAACCCTATGTTGGGGGTTCCTTATAATTGTAGTATAATATAACCCGAAACACTATTCTATACTATGTTGGGGGTTCCTTATAATTGTAGTATAAAATAACCCGAAACCCTATTCTAATTATGAAGGCCCCTAGATTAGTTAGCAGGTGCTTCACTTCGGGTGGCTCACATAAGGATTCCAGTAAAGGCGTCTCTATAGGGCTTCCAGGTTCAGAGATGGCTCTGTGTGGGTGGCTCTAGAGGTTCAGCGTGGAGTTTGGATTTTGGGGCCATCACAAGGTTCTAAGCTTCAGTGCTTGGAAGATCCAGGGCTTAGTCAGGGATCAGACGTTCAGGATTCGATAGCTGTGCTTGCGGTTTGGAGGTTTGAGATTTTGGGGTGAACCGTCTGCCGTCGGAGACAGAGGCTTCAGCTCATAACCTCCTTGCGCAGCAGGGGAGTATGAGTGTACGGTCAAGAGTATCCCACATCATCTAGTTCCGAATGAATGCATCTTTATTTCAATGCGGCCATAAGCCAAGTTATCTGTAGTGTAGGTGAAGCATGTCACGCACAGGCCCGTGGCACGCTGAATTTGGGATACCCATGTCCGCATCTAGTGTGTCGTCATCCCTGAGCATTGAGGGTAGTTGTCTGGCTTGTCATCACTTGCTTGGACCGTTTCTAAAGGCGTGCTGTTTAGCAAGCCTCACCCCACTTGACGCAGCCAAGGACCCTTCAACTCTCGAAGCTTTTCCCATCATAACCGCGGCTGTGCCACATCCCTGGAGGCAAGATCATGCCTCACGCTTCCAACACACAGCATGCGGATGCTGTCTTCATACTACACTTGGACCGGCTTCGCCTCAATTACTGGAACTGCACGCCCTGCCAGAGTAGTCAGCACGGAATTCCGATCTGATATCTAAACCCCAAATACCCCTAAGCAACGGACCCTTATCCAAACAGTCCAAGTCCAAGCCAACAACCTGATTTTTCTGAATTCCCTCATATGCGATGGCAGAGCAGCCCCCAAACCCTGAACCCTAAACCCTAAATGCCTAAGCCCTAAATTCCTAAGCCCTAAATTCCTAAACCCTAAGCTCCTAAACCTAAACCGTAAACCCTATACACCCTAAGAGCAGCCAGGGCACAGCTGCGAGCCCTGAGCTGCCTTTGTTTGCAGCTCAGGGTTGTCTAACCCTGTGCTTCCAGGGCCCTTACCCTAAAGGGTCCACGTACCTAAGAATCATATACTCTCCCAAATAGGGCTTAGGGTTTAGGGTTTAGAGAATCATATACTCTCCCAAATAGGAACCTACATAACTACTATCCGAAACCTAAGTACCCGACTATTGGGTCCTTTGGACCCTTGGGGTTATGATTGGGTCCTCAAGAAGTCGAGGGCGGTCCGGGGAAGCATGGGGCAATATAGGAGCACCAATACTGTTTTTGGGACTGCTTCTTACCAGTATGGTAAAACTTACCTCAAGATTTAAAAACCTATTCTAATTAAAAGGCACAGATACTTGGGTGCTACGGAGCGACCAGGTTGAGCAGTCTTGGGGCGAGATGCCCATGACTTCTGATCGTTCAGGGTCCCGGCCAGTGAGTGAGTGAGGGTTCAGGGTCAGAGTAGCACAGACTCCTGCGCCCTAAACCCTAAACCCTAAACCCTAATTAATCCTACATGCTGCATCTATGTCTAGGAACTCCGGCGGCAACTTCACAACTCCGGATGCAGTAGCACCAACCCTCGTCTCTAACCCGAAGGCCAACTTAACCAACCTTAACCCAAATCCCACAAGAACCATCTCAAACCCCCTACTAACCCATAATTAAACCCCGCCTCAAGTCTCAGCCTTAATGAGGACTACGGGGCCGCGGACGCCAAAAAGGTCCTTCAAAAACTCCCCACGCCCTGAACCCTAAACCCTAAACCCTAAACCCTAAACCCCTTTCACCCCTTAAGCTGATTAAAGCCCGCAGCCTACGTCATGACCCTTCGGAACGGTATATTTCCCTAAGCCCTACCTTAATACCCCAAAGAACCCTATTTTTTAAGGATTCATACAAAGAAATCATATCATAGGCAGCTCTGTTGCCGTAAACCCTACCTTAATACCCCAAATAACTCTTGTTTCTTTAAGGGCTCATATAAAGAAATCATGTTATCATAAGGAGCTCGAAACCAATGATAATTTTGTTTCCTTTGTGGTTTCTCCCAGGAAGAGGAGGCGCCAGA